AGTAAGGAATAGTATTGTGCGGAGTGTTGAAAAATGGGATGTGGCAGACGAGTGAGGATGTGTTGTAAGAGGTTCTTACACTGAGCGAGGCGAATGGTGAACACATATCCTCGGCTTGTGAAGCAGTCTATTGTCTACGGGCTGGGAGGAAAGCATGCAGGAAAAGTGAGTGTATCTATCCGTATTTCAACGGAAGATTCATTATCATTTTTTGCATACTTCGTTATCAGCAAAGCGATGCACGTACTCGTAGCTGAAGACGTGGTCGTGATCTTGTCACTCGGTGCCACGATTCTAATAGAAGTCGTCTCCTCAACCATGAAAACCTCCTTATCCGGATAGTGATTACATTGCTATTACACTGATCATCTTCAGTATTGCAGCTCATCGTGATCCGAGTCTTTCCTTCCCGCGGTTTAGCTCTCCTCACTGTGAATAAACCTGGCCGAGCAAATGGCCAGGTACATTCATATACACGATACTATGGTGGGGGGGAACGGGCAGCAGAAGGAAGGAAGAGGAAGGAAAACGAGAAAGTAGTGAATTGGTCGAGTTGCGGTGATACGGATCGTGCTTGCGGGGTGTTGCAACTAAAGCATTCACCTTCCCATGATTCCAGTGGAAGAATCATTCAGATTGGCCCATCCCATTGATCGGGGTATGTGGGAAAAGCGGGAGCGACAGACAGAAGAAGAGACTAGGCAGTGGGCGTACCTGACCAGCTTCCAGAAAACGATTTGTTCTCCTTCTACATATTCGACGGACAGCGGAGCGGGACAATTTTTTGTGTAAGTGTGTCGTGGTTTTATTTTCCCCTTCCCACACTCAATGAACCTGGGCAAGTTTTTGAACGAGGTGAATTGAAAACGAAAGAGCAACAATAGAAGAAAGGAACTCACATGATATTTGTCGCTGCTTGTCCCTTGGCAAACGTAAACCATCCTGGAATACCTTGATGACTCTCATAGCCGCTATGCTGTGTTATCGGTTTTACAGCATCACCATTCGGGTTGAGGTTGTTCTCAATAGTATTTTCTACGGGGGGGGGGAATAAAGTTGTGTACGGTCCGCGCATACAGCTGCTGCGTATGCTGCATCTACCGTGCACACGACGTTTGCTGGGAGCGAGTCATAGGGTTGAGTCGGTCTGTGGTTGTCGCTGGGTATTTGAGTGATGATTCTGCATCTTTGGAAGGAAGCTACTATTTCGCATTAGTGTTGATGTGCTCATAAAATGTTGTGTGGAGTTGTTATGTTTTGCGTTGTGCATTACTGCGTCATTAAGTTCCGACGGTGCATTACTGAGTACGGACTGTGACAATCGTGTTTTAGTATTGTGCATGACCACAGAACCCTGCTGTTGCGCGTGATTGCTCTGTGTGCAATATTCTATGAGGATCTGTTGTGTCCTGCTCACCTTTGCTTGCCTTTGCGATGTGTATTATTACGACATTTGGTTGCTGCGCACGACTTACAAATTATCGTTTGTTGAGTATTACCGTAGGGCTTATACTCATGCATGATGGTAGATAGCGTTGCCCTTGTCCAATAATGCTAAAGTTTGAATAAAGCACAGGGTAAGGGCCGGACTTTATTCAGAAGCGACCTATTTGTCTGCGCATTGGGGTCTCGGTCAGACACGGAGAAGTGTGACCTGGATAAGTGATATGGCTTGAATAAGGGGGTCTACTGTTGCGAACTGAAAGATCATCAGGGAACCGATGGTCGAAGGTTGACTTCAGTTAACCAAGTTGTTGTTGCATATTTAGGCTGCCATTGCGGGGCCCTTAGGCGCACGTAGATTACAAAGCCCTCTCCTGCGAGTTGAGTCGGTCCCTCTTTTGTATCTCGAGAGTCTGAACCCCCTCCTTCTGCCCTTTTTACTCTAAGTCTAATCTTGTTCAGAGAGGAAGGCGGCAGACGGGATTGCAACCCGTAGGACCGCATTAAGATTCTGTCGGGAGTCTGCCCACCGACTGTGGGAGCTCTGCCAGAACTCATGACGAGTTCTGCAAGTAAGAAATTGAGAGGTAATCATTGTTCTCCTTCTATAAGCCTAGTTATAACCAATATTCGTACATCTTTCTACAATTTGGCTGAGTGTATTGCGTGCATCCCATATTGTTTTTGAGTTTGACTTTCATAATATAACTCACATTTAATTAATAAGGGAAAATTTGTGTAAGTTCGGTTTCAGTTTTGTTGTTTACATGAAAGCAGATTGTAAAAAGAGGTTGCATATGGGGAAAGGTGGGAGGAAGGTAGTATTACTTGCGTCTAACTGGGTCAATAAAAGGCTGGGAGAGTCTCCATAAGATTGGAGGACCCATTGTTCTATTTATTTTCGATTTCCTGAAGGACCAGGAAGGTTCCCATAAGATTAAGTGGTCTGGTTGCTTTGACTTACGAGGGTTGCCTATGTTTGACTTTTAGGGACCAAGCATTTTTCCATAAGATTGGATGGCTTGGTTGCCTTGTTTCTTTGAATTTTATTATATTTTATTAATTTTTGAAAGAAAGTTAGGCATGTTCCATAAGATTCGATGACCCTAACCCTCTCTTGTTTTATTCTGAGGGGGAATTCAGGCAAAGACTCGACAGGTTCCCATAAGACTGGGTGATCTGGTCTCGAGCCGCGCATATGCCGGAACCAAAAAGATAAACTCGTTTATATTTTTATATTATTTATTTATGAACAAGCTAGTAAGGCATTTTCCCATAAGATTGGATGGTCTTACTATAGCTTATCACTAATTGAAGAGAGTATGAATTAAGAATAAACTTGTGGTAAGAAGGGGCAGGATGAACCTTGATTTAAGATGATCGATTCAATCATATGCTACCTCGAAAGACTAAGTGCAGACAATTATATATAACTTGGATACTTAAACAGTTCAAGGCGACTAGGTTGGACAACCTAGTCATATGCCCAAAGAAAACAAAAGTTATAGATGGCTGAGCTAAATAGGTCCCCATAAGATTGGGTGGTCTAGCTTTAAGCCTTATGAAAGTTGGGTATAAAGGATAAATCATTCAAAAACTACGAACTATTGTTAATCAAGTTCACCTTGAGCTGGTGAGAGTACTTACCTTTGTGGTTTGACCTGAATGTGGCTGAGTGAGATCACTACTTAGTTTGAGTTTCAGTTTCATAGGAAGTTGTTTTAGATGTTCGCCACGTGCTAGAGCATAGGAGTAAGTTTCAATTCTTGCATTTTTAAGCTAAGTTTATTTTACGTAGGTCAATTTCTGCATTTTCTAGGATCTTTTGTTATATTTGGTCTTGTATAAATATTGACAAACCACTTTTTCTACGGAAAGCGCTGCCGAAATTTGTACAAAACGAAGAAGTTAGTCATATTTTGACTTTTTAGAAGTTCAGCTTGTCTAAATTTCATATATGGCTTAATAAAAATTTGGAAAGTCTCATAGTGTTGCCCAAATTTTTGCTAATTGAGGGAGTTAGACAAAAAATGAATTTTTGGAAGTACAAGTTAATTCTAGATTTTGGACTTAACTTTGTATAAATTTTGAAAAGCTACTTTCCCTACGGAAAACGTTGTCGAAATTTCTACAAATCGAAAGAGTTAGTTAAATTTTGTCTTGATAGAACTCAAAAATTATCTCTGAGCTCATATTGACTTTGTAAAAATCTAAAAAGTCTCATATTTTAAGGGTAGTGCTGCCCAAAGTTTTACTAATTCAGGGAGTTAGGCAAAATTTGATTTTTTATAGTTGAAAGTTTTTTCATATTTGAGCTAGTGTAAACTCTGAAAAGACACTTTTCCTAAGGGAAGTGATGCCATTTTTTTTTTTGTGAGGATGTTACTCTGAGTTATATATTGAACTCACCTATGGATGTCAGACCTTGTAAGCCTAGGCTATGGCTGAGTATATGAAGATATATGTTTAAGTAGATATCCTTTCCAGGAGTATTTCGTGTGAGGCATTCTATTGGGGTTATATTTGGGATTTTATCAAGTCTATAAAAATTTATATGAATGTCTCCAGTCCAGCATTTGTCTCATGGCTGGCCATTTAGTCTGTATGGATGGATCGTTTTTCCCAGAGAAGTAGGGATCGTCAGCTTAAATAACGGAAGGCGCATGCTGGACGTTTGTTTGTGATGAGCAGAACCCAGACAAAGGAAAGGCAAATCAGGATGCCTTATGCACGGGAAGACCCGTGTATGCTTGGACCAATTGAGAAAGAGGGAAAGCTTGAGGTATCTTTACCCAGGCGAGTCAGAGACGGAGAGTATATTTCATCATGGTGGGGCGTGATGATGGACACGGACATCTTTGTCTGGATTGAGTCTGGGTTCGATGACCAGCAGGAATGCGCAATTGTGAGGGTGACCCTGTACGCCTCTGCCATCTTTTGGGTTGAGCATGGCATAGAATTGGCACTGGGGCATGAAAGCCTGCCTGCTAAGCCTCTGGGGTTAGCCGAGGCAGCTGCAGCTAAGCGGGCGAGGGAAGCGGCTCGTGACGGAGAAGAGCGAGTACTAACCCATGTAGAGGTCAAGTGCGTTGGAGAGTTTGGACTTCCATCCGCTCCACTACGAGTAATCCTGCCTGAGTTCCTCATAGATAAGAGTTTTGATGAGCAGGCGAGGGTAGAAGCAGTAGTTGAAGCGGCTTTGAGGACGCGAGGGTGGGAATATGGGCGCTATACTTGTGAATTGATATATGGCCTATACTCAGACAAAAAATTCTCGCCTTCCAGTCAGTGGCTCAGGAACACGGCCAATATAGTTAACGTATATGCCATTTCACATGATCCAAATGAGGAAGTCGGAGACTGGGATGGGTTACGGGCAGCAGTGGAACGATAGAAGGAGCCTTTTACCATCTTACTAAAGTGCTCTCCGTCAGACTTGACTATAGGCCTCTCACTACCTATTGCCGTAGTGACCACTAATGTCGGCCTATGATTAGCCTTGAGGAACCTTGCTAGTATAAGAATATACGAGACCTATGGTATTGCAAAGGCAGGTGTAGGGGTAAGTTTAGTATGATAGGTTTGTATTTTGATACGTGACCCATCTCGGGTCCCGACCCTAACTGATCGTTGTTTTGTTCGACAGGTGATGGGGTCGAAAAAACCCGAGATGGAGGACCCTCAAGAAAGGATTGGGGCCGAGAAGTTTGTGGATTTGCTCAGCATACGAGACTGGGAGCGGGACAACATGCCCAAGGTTGAGATCGGTTTCTTCGACAGTAACCATGTCTCTAGCTTCCTTAGTAAGTTTGAGCAGATAGCGGTCCAGTGTGAGTGGAATGAGGAGCAAATGTTGAAGGAGGTCATAAGGTATATCCATGTTGACCTACAGGAGGATGTCGGTGGAGTCATCAGAAAAGCAGGGTTATCATGGAAGAAGTTTTATAATGGCATGAGGAATAAGTACCGACTGGGAGAGGAACAGTTGACCAGAGAGGACCTCGAGAAGATGGATCGATATGACTACAAGTCAGCGAGGCATTTTCTGGTGGAGTACGAGCGCGCTTCCCACAAGGTTTGGGGACTTTCTGAACATGACAAGTGTTTTTTCTTCCTTATGCATTTTACGGGTGAGGAGCAGCGAGACCTGATCCGCTGGACGGGAGGACTTATATGGGATAAGATACGAGAGAATTTTGTGGGAGAAGATTTTGATCAGTACCTTTGCCACATCCTACGCGAAGCCAGAAGAAGGAAGGCGTTAAGAGACTGTGAAAGGGATGAGGCTGTCAAGAGGACAGATGGATTGGCGGCTGACACCTCTGAAGGCATGGGAGATGAGCCTCGGAAGCATGGTAAGGCGAGTGAGCGGAATCATAGGCGGGGTGAAGGGAGAAAACGTGAGTCACCTGCCAAGAAAGGAGATGTGCAGAAGAAGGCAAAGAATGTTGTGATCCCTACCTGCGAGAGGACGACTGACATTCCAAGCAGGAAAGGGCAAAAAAAGCGAGAAAGCCAGGAAGAAGCTGGGGTAGCCCAACCTCCCGCTGCACCCGATCCTAGGGGAGAAAGTGGGGATAAGAAGATGGTACCGGCGTCTAGTTGGGCAAGCCAGAAAAGTAAGAGGCGGCGAAAGCAGTGGTTAAAAATTGTGTGTAATTACTGCGGAAAGACGGTTCATACGCCTCGCAGGTGTAAGGAAGCGGGACGAGCCCGAAGGGAAGAAAAGAAAAGGAATGATAAGGGAAGAGATGCGACCGACCCGATATAGTCTAGGCTCAACTGGAGACAGACGACTTAGACCATGGGAGTTGATTGCGGGAGAGGAAAAACAGGTTGGAGGGAAATTCTAGCAATAATGGTCCAGTAAAGTAACTTGGGCTGAAGATAGGGGTAATGCTCAGCCATATAGGTGACGCCAGGAGGCAATGAGTGAGTGGAGACTGGTTCGTACGAATCAATTGTTTCCTTCTTTGGTGTGGTTTAGATAGTTGCGTCTAGATGTGTGATATGTTAGCATGTTGGGATAAACTTGCTTGCTTTGAGCTTTTGTATATGTTTGAGCATATGCCAAGGTACTCGTGTGTTTGAGACATGGGTTACCTAGCAGAGTGGGACGTGAGAGCTGGGTACCTATGTTGTTTTCGAGAGGGATATTTTATCCTGATATACATATTGAGTGGAGACCCTATGAGGCTTGATTTTTGTGACGATCACTATCACTCTCATGCGTATGGCCTATCCTGATGAATGCTGGCTTTGTGTGAAGGATGTGTGAATGTATGATATGTAAAGCTGCCTACTCCTCGGTATACTCGTGCGACATGCCTACGGGCAGCTGATAGGGCAGAGTGTAAGGGAAGGAAGTGCAATCCGTTTGTGAAAAGTTGTGAGGATTTCTAGAAGATTTATGAGTCCTTGAGACTCGAATGCTTCACCATGCCGATTGTTGATTGTTTAAGTTGTGATGAAGACCCATAAGATGGTCTCTCAGTGATGTTTTGTTCTATGAAGAGACCCCTTGGATTTTGGAAAAGGGGATGTTTTGGGGTGTTTTGTTCTATAATGAGACCCCTCGTGATTTTGAGAGAGGGGGGGTGTTTTGCTCCATGTTGAGATCCCCTTGGATTTTTGGAAAAAGAGGATGATTTTGGTTGTTGGAAGACTCTCCTTCAAGGTGAGTAAATTGATTTATGGCATGGTAAGTTGTCTTATGAGTGATAAAGTCTGATGAAAAGGACCATGTTTGCCTGGAAGATTTGGGAAGGATTTTATCCTCGGCCAGAATCGGCGAATCTCACCTTGTTGGTTCTCAGCTGCGGGTGAGGGTCGTCTCCTGCGGCCGGGAAACCCGCCAGAATCAGAAACCCCTCATGTCTTGGCCCCTGGTTGTGAATCGCAAGTGGGTTTTGTGCGCGGCGGAGGGTAAGGGACGAACCGCCAGAATCAACAGTCTTGTTTGCCTAATCACAAAAAGGGCTAGTAAAGGTGCCCTGCGGTAGGGAGACCCGCCGGCGTCAGGGACCCTTCACTAACCGTATTGGAGGCTGCAAACGGTCTTGTCAGCGGCAGTGACTTCCATGACTGGAAAAGTTTTATGGGTTAAGACCCCTTCAAATTTTTGGAAAGAGGAGCTCATATGGTTTTGTTGGAAGAGTCATCTTCAAAATGAAGGTGTTTTAAATAGGTCATGGGGAGGTTCATCCTAAAAAGAGGAGGGATAACTAAAGACCCAGTGATATGTTGGTGGTATACCGGTGGGTAAGTACAGATGGATGGAGGCTTTTGCCCCAAAATTCTCGATTAATTGGATTGGTCCCTCCTTTCATCCGCAGCTTGGTTCATCTGATAACTTTTCAATTTTGCGAAGCGACGGGGACGTCGCTTAATATGGTCCGGTAAGCTGTCGGTGCGAATACCCTTACGAGGGTATCTGCCCTGGTCTGTGCAAGTGACAGGGGATAGTTTTGGTTCAAAGTTTAAGTATACCGCGCTAGGCGCGGCTGTGTTTGGGATCTACGTTGGCTGGATGGTTGACTAGAGTAAAGAGTGCGTGGGCGTGCAGGTTTAAGACGCGCGTGATTCTTTTCTGTTGTTGATCATGGAGCCGGCACGGGCATCGGTCGTTTTGTTTAATGATATTAGTAATATTTATTGATTTTTGATTAAGCTGGAATTAGGGATATTTTTTGTCGATTGGTACGTCTGACCGAGGCGAGCGCGAGTGCGAGGACGACGACGTCGACGGCGACAGTGTGACTGTGATAGGTCTTGGCACGCGGGGTGGCGCGAGTGGCGGCCATGGTACAGATTGGTGAGTCGGCGCAGACGGTGGGCGGCCGCGCACACGGTTGTAGGCAGAGATGAGGCTCAGGCCAATTTCCCTGGCCCTGAGCGCAGCGCCGCACCGCCTCATATGGCACGCCGCGGATATGGGTCTCAAGCTTGGGCATAGCTCTATAGGTTACGACATCGGATTGTTACTATGGAGGTTTGGAGATCGAGGCCGGCGGGCGTCGGCGCGACGGCGGTAGGGTAGCCTGGAGCGAAAACCTAAGGGGTTGAGGGCCCTGTGGGGCTATCCCTCCCCGGTTTTGTTTACAGGCGCGGCGGCGGGCCCGATCCAAGGGACTGACGAGGCGCCAACGGTCGCTGCTCCCCGATATTAATTCTTATTTCACTTTATTTTTATTTTTGTTTTACTCCCGCTTTTTGCTTTATTTATCGCATCCCGTTCGAGGACGCGAGGCGGCGACGGGATCACGAGGGGTGTGGTGTTCGCGGGGTTGCTCGAAGTGCAATTGCAAACTGTTTCCGTGATGGCGCAAGAGCTGCTCTAACCGTGTCCCGCTTGTCTTGGGACACGGTGCAGAGAACGGTGCAGCGGGAGGTACAGCGGACGGCGCAGCGGAAGGCATGGCGGATAGTGCAGCGGGCGGTGCAGATACCCAAGGCCCTAGCCCGGTAGGCACGCCGTTGAACTGTCCGGGTACGAATCCGTGTCGGAACCCAGGTGATGGAACTTGATGAGTAAAGCCAAACATTCTGGCTTATCTTGGGGCGCTCGTCGGGTATTGCTGGGGGCCCGCAGCGGTAGTGCCGTAGTCGTTAGTCGGTGAGCAGGGTGTAGGGGCGAGGGACTAACTTCCGAAGTTTTCCCTCGGGGTAGCTGGAGTTTACGGGCAGGCGGGAATCAGTAGCATTGGCTGATTCGACAGGGGGGGGTTGTTACACACTCTCTAGTAGAGCTCGACGTCTGTGATCTCGATCCGCTGTCGGTAGCGGTTGGTGTGTTTTGCGGTATCGGGAATTTGGCGTGCAGTTACACGTCCTACCGCAGCAAGGCAACAGGGGATGTACCCAGACGAGGGTAGGAGCCGGGTACCTTCGGAGTGAGGATGGCGGAAAGGGCAAGCCGGACGCAGTAGAAAGGGGGTGAATGGACTTGGACGGGATAGGCGTCGGGTGTATGCGGAGGAGCAGGCGTTAGGAGGAAGTGAGGTCCGCTCGGCCTGAGTTGAACAGGGGAGGCTCTTTGTGGAGGCGGGAAACGATAGAGACCTGCAAATCGTTCGTCGGACTTGGGTATAGGGGCGAAAGACTAATTGGACCGCTCGTAGCTGGTTCCCTCCGAAGTTCCCCTAAAGACGGTCGGGAGTCGTAGTCGGGCCCGACTGACCGGTGGTTGCGCTAGTGCAGTAGGCCGCACGTCGTCGGGGTGCGCTAACAGGGGAAAGTGCGGTGAAGAGGAGAGGGTGGAGCTAACGAGGGAGACAGATGAATCGGTTGGGGACCCTGCGGCAGGTACATGCGGGGTGAAGCGCAGTGAGGAGGAGACGGGCGGACGATCACGGAGTGGCGGGCGCAGCAGAGGGGAGGAGAAGCCGGCTGAACCCGGCCGGGTTAATGCGCTAGGTGCATGCGGAAAGGGGGGGGGGAGCCATGGCGGACGTAGGAACGAGCGGGAGGAAGCCAAAGACATGAGATCCTCCCGATCCTTGAAGAGAACGGGCGGGACAAAAGGTGATTCCGGGGTTTTGACCCCGGGCGACCGTCATAGTGGAGATAGACTGGATTAAGAGTTAGTAGAAACGGGGTTAGTAGGAGGACATGGTGCGCGAGGCTATCGGGAGATGGCGGAGGAAGAACGATGGCCCCTCGTTTCCCTACGGAATCACGTGAAAGGAGTAAAACGGGGTTTTTTCGGGGGTGGCGACCCCGAATCTGAAGACGGATCAGTACGAAAGTTAGTAGATTCAAGTTGGTTGTTAGTAGAGAAAGGAGGTGCGTCGGGCTATGGCGGGCAGCGGGAGAGGTGAGTAAGAAGAAGGGATAACTCGCCCATTTCGCGATGGAAACGGGCGAGGAGCGATCCTAGTCAGGGGTTCTAGAGTACTGTGAGTAGGATGACGGGGGTGGATCGAGAGTTCCATGGTTAGATTTTGGGTTATGATAGTAAGGAGCTGCGCCCCGGGGTGGAGCCAGTAGGGTGAGTGCACCTGGCCGGGGTCTTCCGAAAGATTCATTCCGGTCTTGTTCATTTATTCGGAGAGGAGCAGCGTGGGAGCGAGCCGGGGGGTTTGAGACTTGCCTGTTGTTCGATGTGTCGCGCATCCTATCGATGGTAGTGGGGGGAACGGATGCCCAGGGGAGTAGTTAAGTTGTTATTGTTTGAGTGCAGAGCAACTCTGGCCACCTTTTGCGGGCAGGTTCACCCGTGTTATACACCCTATCGAAGTAGAGAGGCGGGATGGACAGCCGCGGGGTGGAAGACTTACCTTCGGATAATGAGCCGCCGATCCTGTCCGGGGGAAGAGCCCCTCTCTGTAGCCCAGTGCGCACGGAGAAGGTGAGCGTTGCGCACGATTCTTGAGGGGGAGAACGGGCTGCTTACGGCCAACCGACTGAGCGAGTGCAGGGGGCCGATTTGGATATCGCAATGTGGCCGCATTCTATTGTGGGAACTGTGGTGTATGGCACATGGTGGGGCGTGGGTGTGGTCGTGGGTTTCAGTCCGCTGCCTCACACGTATTCACCCGGTTCATCATAAAGATTACATGCGCTAAGGAGAGGAGTGTGAGGAAGGAAGTGAGAAACAGTGCACGTATCCGGCCCTAGAAGCCGGCCGGGTACCTTTCGGAGGAATGCACACAGAGAGAGGGAAGTGGAGAGTCATAGTAGAGAGGGGAGAAGGGAAGGCACCTACCTGCTGGCGGTGACGGTCGTCTGCCACGACAGACTGTGGGAGTCTTCGTCCTGGAGCAAGCCCAGCCTGTGGCCAACAGTCGAGCTCGGCCCGTGTTTCCCAACCGAGCCCAGCCCGTGTTCCACATTCGAGCCCAACCTGCGTTCCACAGTCGAGTTCAGACTGTATCTGAGAAACTTTTTCAGGGCTCTATGAGCGGTGTTAGCCACGCGGTCGATAAGAAGAAGAAGAAGAAGGAAACGGTCGTATCTCTCACCTGTTGCTTGTATCCCACGCGGTGGCCAGATACCGTTCGACCCGCGAAGCGCTGCCGACGAAGCAAGCTGAGTGGTATGCTCGAACGGTGTTGCTGGGAGGGTCGCTGTTGGTTCGGGGGACGGAGCGCAGGTTGCTGTTGCTGATCCATTTGACTGCGCACAGGCTACTACGAGTTGCGGTGTGTCGTCACTCTAGCAGCGTGCTGGTCGTATTACTGCATGAGATATCATGGAGGGGAGCTGGAGGATGGCATGCTCACCTATGGACTGAGGCACGACCGTTCCGCCGAGCGGACTAACGGAGAGGCCGAGGGGACAACCGTGGGAAGGGTAGGTCTGTTAAAGGAAGGTAGTGTTGCGAACTGGGAGATCGTCAGAGGCTCGACCGCAACAATTGCCTTATAGTTGACCAAGCGGCTACGTTTTGGCCACCATTGCGGGGCCCTCAGGCGCTTGAAGACAACAAGGCCCTCTCCTGCGAGTCTGAGAGCACCCCTCTTGTATCTGAGCGACTCAAACTCCCTACTTCTGCCCTTCTGACTCTACGTCTAGTTTATTGTTTACGAGAGGAAGGCGGCAGGCGGGATTGCAACCCGTAGGTCCGCGTCAAGACTCTGTGGGGAGTCCACCCACTAATTGCGGGAGCTCTGCCGGAACTCAGGAGGAGTTCTGGAGGCAAGGAATCGTCAGGTAGACCACTTTCATCTGTACAGCCTACTACCACCCATGTTTGTTTATCCCCCTGCAGTATGACTGTTGTATGCATGAGGTTGTCCCTATGATTTTGCTTTGTCTTCAAGACATAATCAGACTAAAGGAAAAAAAAGTGTGAGAGTGAAGTTCAAGTTCCTTCTTTATTCTGACTGAAAGCAGACAAAGGGATAAACTGGGGGAAGGTTGGAGAAAGGCAGTTTTGCATGCGTTTGGAAGCGTCAACCAAAGCCTGAGCATTGTTTCTACTGTGAATGGCCCAAGGCTATGTTTATTTGGCTGTTTTCTGAAGGATCAGGCATTGTTTCTACTCTGAATGACCTGGTTGCTATGTTTATCTAGTTGTTTTCTGGGGGACCAAACATTGTTTCTACTGTGAATGACCTGTTTACTCTAGTTAACTTTGAGGGTTGTCTGATTGAAGGGGTTTAAATTCTTGTTTATTTTGAGGGAGGATTTTTGGTCTAAGGCTAAACATTGTTTTCATGGTGAATGGTTTAGCCTGAAAACCACGCACATAAATTAAACTGAGTATAAAGGAAAGTACTTTATGTATATTTGCATGTGAACTGGCAGCTCGACATTGTTTCTACGGTGAATGGTCCAGCGTTAAGCCATATCATCAGGAAGAGAAAGGAAAAAATACGAAGTATAAATGAAAATAGTCTGGGCAAGCTGAACATTGTTTCCATGACGAATGGTTCAGTCCCCTGCCCATATTTGCTTTCCTTTCTGAAAACAAAGTCAGAAAAATACTAAATTTTGGATATTAAACTGCTCAGGGCGGCGAGGCATTGTTTCCATGAAGAATGACCTAGTCATATGCCCAAAAGAAGAGAGAAGTAGTTGTGCAACTTGTTCGTGTATATCTTAAGGGAAAACTGGACATTGTTTCCATCGCGAATAGTCCAATTCTATGTCTTATGTAAGAGGAAAATAAGGGTTCAAGGACTTAAAAGATTCATAAACTATCTATATGGAATGAACTTGGGGCTGGTGAGAGTACTTACCTTTGTGGTTTGGCTTGCATGTGACTGAGTGAGGCTACTACTTAGTCCGAGTTTCAGGTTGATAGGTAGTTGCTTTAGTTGCTCGCCACGTGCTAGAGCCATAGGAGTTAGCGTCAATTCCTGCATTTTCTGCAATAACGTTTTTTACTTAGGTCAATTCCTGCTTTTTCTGGGATCTTTTCTTATATTTGGCTTTGTATAAATCTTGACAAACTACTTCTCCTACGGGAAGCGCTGCCGAAATTTCTACAAATCCAAGGAGTTAGTCAACTTTGGACTTGTTAGAGTTCAACTTGTCTTTTCCATATATCGGGCTTAGTAGGAATCTGGAAAGTCTCCTTTTCTAAAGGGAGTGCTGCCAAAATTTTTACTAATTCAGGGAGTTAGAGAAAATTGGACTTTGAGAAGTCGAAGTTATTCTTAAGTTCTGAACTCAGCCTTATATAAATTTTGGAATAATTCTTTTTTAGAGGGAGTGTTGCCGAAATTTCTACAAAAATTAAGGAGTTAGTTAAATTATGTCTAAAGTTGAGCTCGAGCTGTTGTTCGAGTTCATATCTGACTTAGTATAAATCTGGGAAATCTTCCTTTCTAAAGGAAATGCTGCCAAAATTTCTACTGTTTCAGGAAGTTAGACTGAATTTGACTTTGCAGAGTTTAAGATTATTTCTGCCTTAATATCTGAATTAGTATAAATCTGTAAAGCCTCCCTTTCTAAAGGCTTTCTAAAGGGAATGATGCCCAAATTTTTGCTATTTCATGAAGTTAGACATAGTTTGATTTTCCAGAGTTAGAGATTATTTCTGCTTTCATATATGGACTTATATAAATTCTGGAAAGACACTTTTCCTACGGGAAGCGCTGC